CGATCCGATTAGAAGGTGTGGTGTTAATAGTTGCAGATGGTTCAGCGCCATGCGTCGGCGCAGTGTTATTAAACAGTGGAATGGTGATGGGCCATATTCATGGTGATGATAGATTCCTGTTTCTTTTTACATTTGCGGAATTTTTTCACATTTATAAATAAAATCAAACGGATAAATTAGTGAAGGAGACGTTAATATCACACATTTGTTTATCCCAAAATTCTATTGAGATGGTTGTTCTTCATAAAATAAGCTATAATAATAGGAGGTAAACAGATAATGATTCAATACAGAGAACAGATCAGAGCGCGTGACACGCACAGACACACAAACTTTTATTGTATGTTCCATAATGTTAACTTTTCTATGTTTCAGCCTGAGCAGTGCGGAAGAAAGTGACAAAATGTTGGACGGCAGGCCATCGGTGGCGTAAGCGAGGGAGGAATTATAACAAATATTCTATTAAAAACTTCAGGCCAGCCCTGAAATCGCAGTCCCCCTATTCGCCTACGTGTTCGAATCTGTCACATAGCATATTAATAAGCATAGAATTTATTTTCGTGATAAAATCTTTTTGGACGCATCTTTAAAAAATCTGCTATTATGGTATCCTAGGAGAGTATTTTAGGGTGCAAAATATGTATGTGATAAAATACTTTATTTACTATACTACGTTATTTTTACAACTTATGCTAATTTAAATGGAACATTAATCAAAAGAGATCGATACCGATTATAATTTACTATATTATTAAGTGTGTAAAAGAGACCAAAAAAAGAAGATAGAGGAGTGCTACGTATATTTCAAGTGACGTCGAAATCAAGGTTTGGCTCAAGTTCTCGTAAGAACTCGCACTCACACACCGATATGCATCTAAAATCACTTGTAACTAATAACATAATTTTAGCTGCATAATGCATATGTATTGTGTTCGTCCAACTGTGGACTTTTAATGAGTTGGTACATTGGTGTTTTAAGCGTCACTTTTTTCAATGCTTCGACTATCTTTCTTTGTTGGTCTGAGACTAAACCTAATCCTCTTTTATCAATTGTCCACGTTTATTATTTAGTGGATACATCATGTGTGTATAATCAATGCTCTTTTAGGAAATATTGAGTAATATCTTAATATAAACATTTGAATAAGATTCATTGTTAAATAAATTCGTGTGATTGATTAAAGATATGTGGCCAAATTATCGTCCATACTTTTAGGATAGTAATGAGCATTTTCGTGTATTTGTCATTAATCGTATCTTTCTTATTATAAAAAACGTAAAACAAGTGACTTTTTTATTTTAGCACGTTTTTTATCATATTTTTGCATTGTCATCTGATTTTGAGGTATACTTATAATATAGAACATCAGTTTGCAGCTGATCGGGAAGTTGTTTAAAAACAAATACTAAATTCCACCCGAAACGAAAGACAAAGAAGAAATTGACTTTTTTACGTGGTAATAAGATTGTTAAACAAAGTGTTAGAAAGTTATAATTTTAGTAACTTTACTAATCACTTAGTGATTTTCTGTTTCGAATTTTCCTGAAGATACAACTTTGCGTTGTTAATTTAAAATGAATATATTCAAAACCTATCTATTTTGCATACTTTTAAATCGAAAACTTACTTGAATTTGGTAAGATTTTGAGGATATTAGAAATGAAGCTGGCAAATATTTCATGTTTGATTTACCTTAACTTCTCCATTCAAAAGAAAAGGCAACTTAGTATAAGAATAAGCGCACTCGTATGAAGTGATACAGACATATTTTATGCTTAAGCTACTGCGGTAATTATTTCGTAAAGTAATGTTTTATGTTGAGACCGTCCTTTTTAGATTTAAGTCGTCCATATAATTAATGTGTGTGTATGTAAACCCGTCAAGTAAAGGGGTGTTGTCCAAGTAGATGGATTCCATGGCATTTAATTTTATATAATTATTATATAAAGTTATATTAGGGGTTTGGATTGATATTATTTTTGTTAAAAGCTCTCTTAAATCAAAAATCGTTTAATGTCGAATTATTAAAAGGAAAACCACACACTGTAAACAAACAATCATCACAAATATATAATACTTTACTATGAATCGTACATAGTAAAAAGGAACCTAATTATGTAAATATTCCGATTTTAGATAAGACATAGCCATAAGCTGTGATTAAATACCTACAATATTTTGTTTAATAACTATATAATATTTTATGTTTTATATTTCACAGTTTTATATAAGCTACTTTTGTTCCTTTCTACATTAGACCTTAGTAATTTTACAAAGTTGTAAGTGTGAATTTTTATTGCGTTTTTAATTTACAATAAATATTTATAATTTATTTTAATTGTATGTACTTAAAGTACAATATTTTACTAATATGTACTTAATATATCTTCAATCTCTTTATCTCTAATAAAGTTAATTAAGAAGTATTATATGGTAATGATTTATTTTTATTTAATTAATTTGCGGACTCGCCCATAGATTTGCAGGGTGTAATATAGAAGTTGAACAAACTCTATTCAGAGGCTATTGTCAGTCCTTTTACACCTGCAGTCTATGGGTTGAGTATACACGGAGGACGTTCACAACACTGCGCGTCCAATATAATAACGGCTTCAGGATAGGGCTGCCTCGGTACTGCAGCGCGTTGTTTGCTGAGGATCGCATAGACAGTTTCCCAGTTATCATGTGCAAACGGATTGCCTCCGCTTGGAGCCGTGTCCGGAATAGCTCCAACAGCCTCCTGGCGGCGATAAGGATTTATTGCTGTCCTATCTAGAGGCACTGGAACAGCGTCCATATCGGCTCGAGACCTGCTCTGGTTAATATAAAGTAGATAGAGTAGGTAATATAGTATGTGACCTTTTAATTTTTATTTATTTACTAACCCTAGCTTATAAGTTCTTTTTGTAATTACCAACACACTCTATGGAAAGAAATTTCTGAAATAAAGAATAATAAACAAAATAAATAATAGAAGGTTGTCAAACATTTTATGTGGTACAGACATGCTGCAGTATATCAGTAGTATAGTTGTAGCACGAATGGGTCAGCTAGACAGGGAAGGACCACGTTCTCACAGAATACCAGCGTAAAATAGCAGCATAACGCTGCTGTGTTTCGTATGGTGAGTGTAGAGAACCAGAAACCCATTTTACTGGAAACGAGGCATTCCATCTTATTCCTCTCGCGTCACAACGCATCTGCATTATGATTCCTAATTGAAGATATGTGTATGTTTATGGGCCACAGCAACCACTTACAATACATTTTATTCGGGATCTTCGTTTTTACAGATTTTTTTTCGTTGATGCGTTGGACATTGCGAAGTTTTTGGGAGATTTTAACGACATCTCAATTCAATGGACAGTCGATGACAATAACTCAAGTTCTTAAGGCGCCTACACGAACAAAATAACTTGAGGCCTACATCAACAGAAAAGCACTCGTTTCGTCGTTACCACTATTCACATGCGCAAACAATACAGAAAATCGCATCACTTTTACGTATCGACATCCACTTCTACCCTTTATTTAAACGATAAAACAGGAGCAACAATCCGTTGACAGTCAAGTCACCGCCAAAAGCCCCAAAGATGTCGTAAAGAGATTTGTTTTGGTTCCATTACATTCCTAATTATTGATTTGATTGATCAGAAGTAGAAAACTATGCCAAGTCTTTGACGCTCGATGTATGGATATGGGGTATTTTAAAATTAGCGGTAAATGTATACAACATGTAACAAAAACCCTGTAGTTCCCGTTAACTGCGTTATCGGAACCATTATCCAAGCATATAGAAATAATTTTTTTTTTCATTAAAATTATTTATTTTTTTAGATGTATTTTCGAAAAAAAAATTATTTCTATACTCTTGGATACTGATTCTAATAACACATTTAACGGGAGCCACAGGGTTTTTGTTACATATTATATATAGGTAAAATGTATATACAGGTCAGTGGGTTAATCATACTTTTATAGAGATAACCTAAGAGAGACTGCAGGTGCGTTGCCGGCTTTTTAGAAATAAATAGGCTCTTTTCTTGTAGGCCCCTTAGTCGTGTCAGTCTGGAAAAACTATTAATGAATTAACTGCCACTAGCTGTTTAATGCGAATTACTTCTTAGAACCCATGGTTTTAGATTGCTATCCAATCTGAAGACGATGTAGGTGGAACGAATGATGCCGCATGTACGATGGCGAGATTTGACAGCTGGAATTATTCCAAACAATTTCTTGGAGCACTCCTCGCAGTAAAGTCGCTAAAAATACAGACATGCAATGTCTCTTCGCAAGCGAGTCAAGCCGATCTGAAACGAAAGGTCATCCACGGTTGCGCCGGACTGGAGTATTCCGGACCAGAGATAACAGTATTTTAACTAAGGCCTAACTTGTGCCTTGTAAAGTAAGCATTCAGATTGTAATGGGTTGTGATGTTCTTTACATTTATTTGTGTTACCAAAAGCGATTAAAAAGGCTTTTTGTATAAAAATACATTACAACTTTATTCATAGAACAAGCTTGAGATCAGCGTTTTCTGGTATTCCTTGGAGGAGGCCTATATTCAGCAGTAGATTTAATAAAGCTTCAATGAAAATGATGATTATGTAAGAATAGTATAGGTTCAAATTTTATTAGATAAATGTTAGAATACAGTCTACAGATACCTATAAACTAGGTTAAGACGCTTTTTCGTAGAAGTCAAAGAACGCTACGTCCTTATAATAATTTTCAGAGATTCTGCTTTTCGGTCCGCTTAGTGATGTCGACAGCGAGCGCTTTTAATAGGCTATAATTAACAATGGCTTAACAACTAAAATTACTAAGGCCTCAAAATGGGATTAATTTTTATTCAGTCCAGGAAAACAAAATTTGCTAATTGAAAAAAATTGTCTACAAAGTATTTATTTATTACAGAATCACGTTAATCAAATTGATCTCACAAAAAATAAAAACATTTCATAATTTTCTTGTAAATACATATTATACTTAAAGCTAATCAGTCTCTGGTAGTAGTAGTACGACGCCACCAAGGTACTCCCGTTACATCGTCTTCATGGCATACATTTACGGTAGGCCTGTAAATAAAAAATAGCTATATATATACAACACGTAACATAATTAACGCACTTTGAGAAAATAGTTTGTTCAGAATCGTTTACTGAATCGATTCCTATCATTTTTAATATAGGTAATTTTTTATCCCAAAAATAATTAAAACTACGTAAATTACAGTCACACTAAATCTGTCTCAAAACAAACTGAAATGGACCGTAACCTAAGGCAATAAGATTTTTAAGAGTGCAGTTTTATTTGTATTATTACTAATTATGTCATTCAATAAAAATAAAGAAAAATAAACTTTATTTCAAGCACGTTAGTCTTTGTGTTCTTGGATTTGTACTGTGACCACAACATTCTTCCGTTATTATTATAACTAATTTGATAAATAATCAGTGCACAAAAATGTTTAACTAAAAATTCAGTGTATGTAATATACTAATTGGGGTGTCTGAGGGTGTGCGTTAATTACGTTACATATTGTGTGTGTGTGTGTGTGTGTGTATTCGGCCCATTTCTAATATATATATTAGAAATGGGCCGAATATTCGACTAAATCACCAAACAATCATTAAAGTGGTACTCAGTGTCCACTGTATTGAAATATACGAATTAAGTAATGCCATGTCTTTCATAAGTTTATTGTTGAAAATATATATTTTTATTTATGGGTTAAATCTACTTGTTTAAGGTTATGTTTTCAGGCACTGTAGATTTATTTCCAATTATAGCAAATATAAAGCTTGATAACATGCTTTTGAAATCAAACAAAGAAACATTACATTACATTAGTACATTTCACTTTACTTTGGTCGTCAGTTTCTCTAAAATAAGTCCAACTCCTTAAATAGAATCAAATAATAGACTTTTCGCTAAGAATAACACAACGAAATACTTTTTTATCACACAAATAGTCAAAACATAAGCATGTGCCGGCAATTTGCTCAGTAGCAGATGATGCAATAACATGTCAGGTGTAGCGAGGGAGCTAGGGGCAGAATCCGGCGCTAATCCCGCGCGCTTTACGGTAACAAGTTTCGACATAAATTGGTTAGATACTGAGGTGATCCTGCCGAATAATGTTCGGCCGAATACTCGTATTTCATGAAATCCATATTCAGCCCATCTCTAATATATATAATATATTTCACCCGCCCCGTTGCTTAATCTATCAATTAGGCATAAGTTTTGAAACTTTTCTTTGAGTTTACTCGGGAATAGCTCTGGCAACGAGGAGTTCATAAGACGAATTTACTTTGTAAGCTGAATAGATGCATTCAACGCGAATCCACGAGTTACAAGATTTTTAATACTCACAGATATGTGGGCGAAATGAGTGCTTATCACAGATAGGAGATCGAGTGAAATATGCATCATTTCAAAAAATTTACTAAAGTATGCAACTACGCTGAAAAAAGGCTAAATATGCAATTATATAATTATAATAAATAAATAAATATAATTCATAGTCATAACCATCAACAGTGTCTAATATTCAAAGCTTCTGGTTTGTGATCTGTTAAGGATAGGGTAGAATAAAAAAGGCCAAATTCAGCACTATGCTGTTTACAAATTACAGACTAAGTGAAAAGCTAAATTATAACTCACCTGTACACACGACTATGAGGTAACGTTGATGACGTAATTAATGGGCAAGCTGTGGCTGGTGCTTCCTGTAAGTGTAAAAATTAAATGCATTTAAAAATCAGTCCATGTTAATTTCTTCATCTTTCTTTCCTTTTTAGCGACCATTGTGAAGCATAACAAACATAACAACGGTCATAAAAAGTCAGCAAAATACTTTACGATTACAAAACATTTACAAATAGCGTTAATAAGTTAACCCAGGTGCTTGTATAAAGTGAAGATTTCTTCTAATATAATGTGAAGGGAAGTACAAACCTGCATGGATTGCATTGGTATATGCATATTAGCTCGCAGTTTTCGCTGCCTGATTTCGCGACGTACGCAGCACTGTACACCAAGCAATACGCTACACACACATGAAGCAAGGCAACCTGGAACAATCAGCACAAATATGAGTATAATTAGATTATTTAAATAATTAAACTGCAAAAATCAAAAACTGACTTTAAACTAAATGGAATAAAATATTTTTATAGGATCTTTCTAGGAAAATGGGGCTTTTACTTTTAAACAAACTTTTGCCGAAATACTTACACTGTTGAATTTTAAAATGCCGTTCAGTCTCATCCTATCTCTATCACTTTAAGTCAAAGTAACTGACCCCCACGAGACTAAACAACATCTTAACATTGAGTATTTGGCTATTTGTTTTAGAAGTTAAGCAGTTGCACTATGAAAAAAAGAATCTTTATTTTCTCATTACCAAGTAAAGCAAAGCCATGTATCGGTGGTGTAAGAATATACACTAGCCCATATCGTTCAATGAGTGTGGTATGAGGCGAAAGTTAGATACAAACCGGGAGATTGGAAACAGCGTCTACCAGATTACTGAGGTCTATGTTCAGTAGTGAACTTTCATTGGCTGTACAGAAATCGATGAAGTTCAGCTTATTAGCTTCGTATTGTCATCTGCATGGACTATGGGTCCTGCAGGTCTCGGGCCTCGGGTTATGCCCCCATTGCCCGGATTTTCCTCATGGCCCACAACTATGGGCCAGTCCTAGGAGCCTTTTCTAGGCTTGGTAGTCAAAAATGGATAATCCGTAGTCGGAATTTTTTTCGTAGTCGGTTAACTACGGGAAAAAAGGAGGTTATCCAGTAAAAAGTCGGAGTTGGCCTATCAGCGGCATTGTGGGTTGTTACTCGACTCTCTAATCGCTATAGAGAGGAGTTCTCTTGGAAGAGGTCGCCCGTCCGGGGGCCGTGTGTGCAATGGCGCGAAGCCGTTGAGGTGTTCATGTGGCCCGTTGTCGGCGCGGTCGAACATGCCGCGCGCCAGTCGGGCCACAAAGTCGGTGATGGTCTGGACTTTCAGATCGGCCGCTATGACGTCATTCCGAATGTAGCGACCTGCTCCGACGATCGTCCTTAATGACAGGTTCTGCTGGGCCTGCAGACGCCGCCTCAGAGGGTCGCTCAGAAGCGCGTACCAGGCCGGAACAGCGTAGGTGATAATTGTCCGGATATACATCTTGTATATCCGGAGCTTGGTGTTTGACCGGCAGCTTGGATGCCAGGACTGGCAAGAGCGTCGCCCGCGCACATCTGGCTCTACGGACGACGAAGTCGACGTGCGCAGTCATGCGCAGCGTCCTGTCAATCCGGCACGCAAGGTAGGTCACGTTCTTCTCGTACGCGATCGGATTGGCCATTGAGGATCAGCGGAGGTGGTAGTTTTCTGAGACGGCGAGTGAGCAGAGCGGTCGTCTTACAAACGTTGACGACCATCCTCCACTCGTCCAGCTATGGTGGCAACAGGTCCAGCAGACGCTGCATCCTGGCAGTGGCTATGTGGGCTCTTCTGGACGAGGTGAAATAGGCGCTATCGTCCGCATATAGTGCCAGCTCAACGTCGTCCTCCCACTCTTGCAGCCTGCCTGCCAGTGTTGGTATTTCGTTAGTATAAGCCGCGTACGACTGATTTTTAAATGCATTTAATTGGCCTTTTTTATTCTACCCTATCCCTAACAGATCACAAACCAGAAGCTTTGAATATTAGACACTGTTGATGGTTATGACTATGAATTATATTTATTTAAGCCGTGTAGTGGCGGTTAAGAATATCCACTACCCCATATCTTCCCGTGGGTGTCGTAAGAGGCGACGGAGGGAGACAGACAGGAGATGGGCAGCAGCATCTTCCTGATAACAGCAACTGTACGACAAAAAAAAAACTGCGGTTGCCAACCCGCTCGCCAGGCGTGGCAACTATGGCAATATACCCCCCATGAACAATTACACAAATAGACGGCCCCCAGTCCCCGGCGGCCCCGCTATTCCTGGCTACGGTGGCGACCATGGTAACGGCGGGGCGGGGGGGTGCTAGGAATCTCCGGTGGAGGTTCGGTTGCCACCTACGACGACTCGACCTGGCAACATTTAACGCACGCACACTGAGGACTGACGAGAAGATCCTGGAACTGGAAGAAGAGATAGACAGGTTGCGCTGGAGTATTATAGGATTATCCGAGGTCCGAAGAGAGGGGGAGGACACGGTGATTCTCGAATCCGGCAACTTGTTCTATCACCGGGAGGGCGACCATCTGTCCCAAGGAGGTGTCGGATTTATCGTCCACAAGTCTCTCGTCAACAACGTTGTACAGATTGAGAGTGTGTCGACGAGGGTCGCGTACCTGATACTCAGAATCACCAAACGGTATTCGCTGAAGGTCATACAGGTTTACGCACCAACGTCGGCACATTCCGATGAGGAGGTGGAGGAAATGTATGAGGATATTTCCAAAGCCATACATTCCTCCAAAACCCACTACACGGTGTTGATGGGAGACTTCAACGCAAAACTAGGCACAAGAGAAAGCGGTGAGCTGAAGTTAGGGAAATTTGGAGTAGGGCAACGGAACCGAAGGGGCCAGCAGCTGGCCGACTTTATGGAGAAAGAGGGACTCTTTATGATGAACTCTTTCTTCCAGAAGCGGCCCCACAGGAAGTGGACCTGGTCGAGCCCCGACGGTTCGACAAAAAATGAGATTGACTTCATTATGACGACCAGACGCCAACTGTTCAGTGATGTCTCAGTGATCGCAAGGGTGAAAACTGGCAGCGATCACCGAATGGTTAGAGGCACACTGAACCTAAACGTTAAGTTGGAGAGGTCTCGTCTAATGAAGTCAACGCTCCGTCCCCCTCGTGCTCTGATCCAAAATCCCGAAAACTTTCAGCTCGAGTTACACAACCGCTTTCAGTGCCTACAAGATTGCAATGCAGTGGACGATATGAATGACAAGCTCGTGGAAACTGTCCATGCGGTCGGAGCTAAGTTCTGCAAGACCCGCCGCAGAAGAACACAAAAACTCTCCGATCACACTCTTAATCTCATGGCTGTTAGACGGGAGATGAGGCTGCAATCGTCAACAGATTTGACAGCATACAGGCAACTGAACAGACAGATCTCCAAATGCATGCGGCGAGACTTACGCAACTTTAATACTGCTCGTATTAAAGAAGCGATCGAGCGGAACCAGGGCTCCAAAGTCTTTGCCAGAGATCTGTCTGCCAGAAAGAGCCAACTGTCAAGGCTGAAGACTGAGTGTGGCAGCATCGTTTCCGGGACACCTGAGATTTTGAGTGAGATTGAGAGGTTCTATGGGCAGCTGTACACATCATCGTTGGAGCCACACGCAAGTGTGAGTAACGATCCAAGAGCAAGTCTTATCCGACACTATTCCGATGATATCCCGGACGTCAGTCTAAGCGAGATTAGAATGGCTCTCCAGCACCTTAAAAACGGCAGGGCCCCAGGCGAGGATGGAATTACAGCGGAGCTTCTGAAAGCGGGTGGAACACCGGTACTTGAAGTCCTTCAGAAGCTCTTCAATTCCGTCCTCCATGGTGGCACTACTCCAGAGGCGTGGAGCAGAAGTGCGGTGGTCTTGTTCTTTAAGAAAGGCGACAACGCTCTCTTGAAGAACTACAGACCGATTTCCCTTCTGAGCCGCGTCTACGTGCTGTTTTCGAGAGTCATTACGAATCGTCTCGCACGCAGACTCGACGACTTCCAGCCTCCCGAACAAGCCGGTTTCCGAAAAGGCTTCAGTACCATAGACCACATACATACCCTGCGGCAGATTGTACAGAAGACTGAAGAGTACAATTTGCCACTTTGCCTGGCGTATGTGGACTATGAGAAAGCCTTTGATTCCGTCGAAATTTGGGCGGTGCTGCAGTCCCTTCAGCGGTGCCAAGTTGACTGTCGGTATATCGAAGTGCTGAAGTGTTCGTACAGTAGGGCTACGATGGCTATCCGAGTACAGAACCAGAGCTCGAAACCTATCCAACTGCAGAGAGGTGTAAGACAGGGTGACGTTATATCCCCGAAACTCTTCACCGCTGCTTTGGAAGACGTTTTCAAGCTACTGGACTGGAAAGGATACGGTATTAACATCAATGGCGAGTACATCACTCACCTTCGATTTGCCGACGATATAGTCCTTATGGCAGAATCGCTGGAGGACTTAAGCACTATGCTCAATGACCTCAATAGTGCCTCCCAACGGATAGGTCTTAAGATGAACATGGACAAAACAAAGATTATGTTTAATGTCCATGTCACACCTATGCCGGTAGTTGTTGGGAGCACTATGCTCGAAGTTGTTGACGAGTACGTTTACCTGGGACAAATATTCCGACTAGGTAAGTCCAACTTCGACCGAGAGGTCAATCGACGGATTCAACTCGGCTGGGCAGCGTTCGGGAAATTACGACATATCTTCTCGTCAGGTATACCTCAATCTCTGAAAACTAAAGTGTACAACCAGTGCGTGTTGCCAGTGATGACTTACGGATCAGAGACGTGGTCCTTCACTGCTGGCCGTATGAGGACGCTCAAGGTCGCTCAGCGAGCTATGGAGAGGGCTATGCTCGGAGTTTCTCTGCGTGATAGACTCAGAAATGAGGATATCCGCAGTAAAACCAGATTGACCGACATAGCCCAACGGATTAGTAAGCTGAAGTGGCAATGGGCCGGCCATATAGCTCGAAGAACCGATAACCGATGGGGAAGAAAGGTTCTTGAGTGGCAGCCTCGTACCGGTGGGCGTAGTGTGGGGCGACCCCCCACTAGATGGAGTGACGACCTGGTAAGATATGCAGGAAGTAGATGGATGCAGGTGGCTCAGGACCGTGCTTTGTGGCATTACTTGGGGGAGGCCTATGTTCAGCAGTGGACTTGTGAAGGGCTGTGATGATGATGATGATGAAGCCGCGTACAGGACTGGAGACAAACAGCTTACCTGTGGAATGCCGGCTCTGATGGATCTTGTTGCGGACTCGGCGTCCTCTACGCAGACGTAGAACTTGCTGTCTTCCAGGCAAGACGCCACTAGCCGCAACATAGCAAGAGGGACACTGGTCTGTTCGTGTAGCTTGTAAAGCTTGGTGCCACCTGTCGAACGCCTTCTCATTGTCGAGAAAGGCGCCCAACGATATGCGGCCACAGTTGTACTCTACCGCAAGCAGGTGCAGCACTCTAGTCAACTGTGTGACTGTAGAGTGACCCCTCCTGAATCCGTGCTGCTCCACCCGAAGTTGGATGCACGGACGGAGTTAGACGTCTTGTGCATTGATTGTTGCTAAACAATCTTTCTAGCAGTTTAGCTATGTGCGGTAATAGCGTGATCGGACTGTAGCTGGCAGCTCTACGCCTGTCCTTCCCGGGTTTCGGCAAGACAATGACTCTGCCTTTCTTCCAGTCCTCCGGGAAGTGGGATTAGCTTATTAGCTAAAGCTCGACTACAATTCCACCTTATAATAATTGCCTTCATTAGCATTTAGCTTATAAACTAAAGCTTGATTATAATCTCAATTGTATTTGATCGTAAATTACACGTGGTTAAGTAAAACAAAAACACCTATGGGTTGAAAATATAAACACTGACAAATTATCCACACCTTTTCCGAAATGATATAACAAAAGGGATGGAAACCCATCGATGGTCTAGTTGTCTAATGATGGATGGAGAAGAGAAACTCATGTAATACCTAGACATTAGAACATTTATACTACAGAAACCTAAATGGCTTGCTAATCTGCCCATGTCTTCAAAACTAAAAGACATTTAGCCTTTAGGTTAAAAATATTTCCTCTGAGTAAGTTTTTTTAACTTAGCTAATTTATAAAATTTTAATTTTTATACAAACAAAATTATAACTAGAACTAATTTCACAACAATAGCTTTAATAAAAATCTATTTTAATAACACTGTCTATTTAGCACTAAATTAATATACAAAAAAATATTTTAGTAACAATTCAAAAATTTTTGGAATCATATCACCCAAGTTAATTTGTAGTGACGATAAAAACAAAAACATAAAATGAAACATTAAATTATCTTACCAATATAAACTAATACTCCAAGATCACCATTACGGTTTGTACGCCTTAGTACAATACCAGCAATACATAAAGAGATTCCAGTTAAAATACCTACAACAAATATAACCTGAAACAAACAAAAAATAAAATATACTTTTTCACTAATAGTATGTTATAATTCTTTATCATTGAAGTATTAAAATAGCTATCCACTGATGGTTACTGGCTACTGTGGACTCTGAACATCAACAATCTTCAAACAACATCAAATGACATCCGTGAAGACTAAGATGAAATTTCTATAATTATACTGCGTCTAAAGAAATAACTAAATCTTGAAACACAGCAGTAGACGCCTAGGCAAACAAAGTCATGCTGAATTATATGTTGTCGTTTGACATGTATCAGTATTGTTAGGTAATTAGAAAGCTTATATTACATGCCATATTTGTTTCTAATTTATTTTGAATTTACTTTGAGGAAAAAAGTGAACCTTCTTTTCATCCCCCTTCCGTTTGCTCTCTAGGGAACCATAATAGAGAGTTGCTGTATTAGACGTAGCTGAGTATAGAGAAAAAAGTCATATGTTTATGTTTTTTAGTATTCATATTTTCAATAAAGTTAAATAATAAGTGTTGATGAAATAAAATATTTTTGAATGATGATGTGATAAATAATAACTGTTCGATAAAATAAAATATTTTTTTATAGTTTTACTTTACATTTTAAATATATCAAATTAAGATGCGTTTTGTGTTAGGTTTGTAGGGAGTATAACGCTTCGCATACACCTAATGACCGGTTTACATTATTCCAGTCCAGTAATCTAGCGAGATTCCAGTCCAGTGTTGGACTGGATCTGTAACGTCTACATTATTCCAGTTTTTTAGAAGCCGTTGAAGTGTGAACACTACAGTGATAATGATTTCAAGAAGAGATCAGTTTCGAAAATGTTTCAAACGTGCTCAATCACTCTTGCTACAAGAAGTTATTAATGAGGTTGATAAGGAACTAAAAAAAAAGGAAAGGATTTTGGTGAGAAATTGGATCAGCGAAGGAGGTCAAAAAGGAGGGTCAGTAATGCTTTTGCAACAACTGAAAGTAAAGGATCCCAATGAATATAGACGCACTGAGAATGACAGCAGAAAACTTTGAAGAACTGTTATCATTAGTTTCGATTAATATCCAGCGAAAGAATACGTTGTTTAGAGATGCTATACCCGCAAAAGTAAAATTAGAAGTCACTCTTTCTTTTTTAACTACTGGAGATAGTTACAGAAGCCTCAGTAGTATGTTTCGATTCCAAAACCAACTATTTCAAAAATTATACCAGAAGTCTGTCAAGAAATTAAAAGGGCATTAAAGGACCACATCAAGGTAATATTTTTTTATTAAGTATATCTATGACAATTAAGCATTATTGAAAGCATTCATGATATATTAATGTATTCTGGGTCATCGCTTACTACATTTGGTTTGTGTATCTACAGACGCTGGACTATTCAATGGCATGTAAGTACTACTACTCGTACTTGGTCTTGACGCATAATTGTTACTTGGTCTTGACGAATTGTCAGTGGCATGTGTGTGTGTGTGTGTGTGTGTGTTTTGTGCCTGTCATATTTCCGTATTCCAAATTGTGAAGTCGACATTTTGTTATCACACTCTGAATTTCTTCTTGGCCTAGGATAGCCTGTTCTGTAGAAAGGGTTCTTAATTGCTTCGCAATGTGTTTCCTGAAGATGTCGAATTCATCTTCCACTGTTTCTGATTTGGATAAATCGTATTGCATATCTTTCATGCTACTGACTATTGTAGACAGCTGTGAAATTTTACTTCTTTTCTTTCGCGGTTCTGATAGACTTAGTTCTGGGTTTGTATGGGTAGGGTTCCTACATTGGTCACTAGGTTGAGTATTGTCAGTATTTTGAGCATCATCAGTATTTTCCTGAAAATAAAATGTTTTTAATTTATTTTTGCAGATACCCACTGCGGAACAATGGAAACAAGTCGAGGAAGGCTTTCGGAATAAGTGGAACTTTCCTTTGTGCTACGGAGCATTAGACGGAAAACATATAAAAATTTCTGGCTCCTATGAATATGGAAGTACCAACTTTATTATAAAAAAGAAAACAGCATAGTATCGACGGCTCTTGTTGACCATGATTACTGTTTTACGTATATCAATGTGGCCGCAAATGGAAGCGCTTCGGATGGTGGTATTTTCAAAAACTGTTCCATTTTTACTGAATTAGAAAATGGCAGTTTTATTCCAGAAGATGGAGTGATTGTGCCTGATGCAGCATTTCCACTACTATACACACTACTAATACACTAATGAAACCATATCCTGGGGCTAATTTAACTTTTGAACAAAAAATATATAATTACAGGCTGTCCCGTGCTAGACGCATTGTAGATAACGCTTTTGGAATATTAGTAAGTCGATTCAGAATTTTCGAAAAAGCTATTTCAACAAAGTTACATACTGTGGATCACATTGTGTATGCAGCTTGCTCTCTACACAATTGGTTGAGAAAAAAGTCAAGCAATTATATGACTACTACTTGTGTAGACCATGAAGATCGCAACGACCATCATTTCGATTAATGGAGCATGGAGGTCCGAAATAAACTCTTTAGATAGTATCATACAGCAGGACAGTAACAACTCAGCAACACATGTCAGGGAAAAAGAACTCAATTTACTAATTATTTTGTGAACGAAGAAAAAGATCCATGGCAAAATCATATGATACATTGATAAATTTGTGTGTTTAACAATTAATTAACAAATAATATGCTACTAAAATAAAAATAAATAAAAATCTTAAAATACATACGTGGGTTTTACGCTTCAACATCACATTTTTAATAAATAAATTGAATTCGGCGAACCATTTCACTTTGGGTTGGTAAACATTGCCACTAGCACCAAATGTGGATGACTTCTTAATCTGGTCTAGTTCAAGGTAGTATGTCGAACGAATACTTTTTATTTTGTTTTTCACATCTTCCAATGTGAATCCTTCAATTTCCATACCAATGCACAGATTTTGCAAAGCAGTTTGGAGCATAGCTTTGTTTTTATAATGTTCTGATTTTATATCCCATAAACACGGATCTTCTCTGTACATAGTGAGAAACTACAGTTTCGTCTTCAGATAACTTCTTCACCATTTAAAGTTAAATCCTTTGTCTTCGCAAAAAAAAGTCCGCAAAAACAACCAACACGTGTGTACTTCGTCAGCACTGGAATGGCACTGGTTGGCCGTCTACATTAATCCAGTTGCACTGGATTGATCGCACTGGATTCAAAAGTAGACCGCGAATCCAGTTACTGGACTGGAATGCTTACTGGATTCAGTTCATTCCAGTGTCAGTTTACATTATTCCAGTAAGCAATCCAGTACTGGACTGGATCGCTGGACTGGAATAATGTAAACCGGCCATAATCCGTCATCGGCCGATGACGGCGGAACTCCGGCAATCGAATCAAACACTTGTAAAACAGAGAGCGCGTACACCAACACGACCGTCATCGTCCGATAACGCACGAAAACGGCCGATCAACCGTCGAATCCGAACTTGTTGGGATTTCTCGCCCAACTGCCGGCGTCTACAGTGCAAATTGAGTGTACCTATTTATAATTTAATTCAATCATTTTATCTTTATTTTGTCGTTTCTGTCAGTGTTGTTACCTACCTAAACGACTATGGATATTGAAAATAGAAAAGAATACCAACAACGTCCAATGTCGGCGCAAGTGGTACAAAATGCAGTGTAAGCACATACACGTCGAGTTACTCGTCCGGGTAATTCTGTCCGCCATCGGCCGACAAAATCGGTTTTGATGCACACGTACCGAATACCGATATATTCTGATTAATGTTGACTGTATTCTAGCCGCATGATCTTGTGTTCGTATTATGTAAATGCAATTATGTAAAAGTAATAAGGCCCAGATTTAAATCCCATCCTAGCTATCATTTGTGTAAAAACACATATTGTTATTACATTAGGCATGCATACATTAGGCTTGTGAGTCTTTATTGGCTTTGTACACTTGTCATCTCCTGGGCAATTGATAGGCTCCGACTGAATTTGGTAGTCGATGCTGTGGTTATAGATATTGTTGCGTTAATATTAATGATAGAAAGTAGAGATGGGCTGAGTACAAGTTGTACCAAGTAACTGAGTATTACTTGGTTTAATTTAAGCCAACACTAGTACACAAACAACTCCGTTCAGTCTTAACACAACTTAGAAGCGCAAAAACAAATTTAAGCAACATGTAGCAGCAGAGCGAGCGGTACCTCTCAGCCTACACCCCAACTTAATACTTATCCTTAAAAGAATGTTGATGTTTTTTATATAGAAATGATATTTTTGTTTGGTACTTTATAAGTGTATGGGCTACGTTGTTAAACTTAATGAATAACTATTGCTTTACGTGTTTTCCTTTTAAATATGTATACTAGGTGTATGCTATATAATATTAACATTAAAAATAAAAAAGAGAACACCTGCGGAGTTTATCTCGCTATTTCTTCTCCGGTCAGAGGAATCTAATTTCAAAATGGTAGTAGTAGATTCAGTAGGTTTAAAAATGAAATTTGAAAAACGAAATCTCATTTTATTATGTCGAAAATAAATACTTATATTTCAATTCATTTCAATGATGTGATCGCTACAAAGTTATTACCAATTTGTTTTGTAAACAGTTCATTTTCAAAACAAAAATGTCTACCTGGGTTACTTGCTGGTTCTTCCCAAGAGTGGCTTTTAATAAGTATTATTTATAATATATATTGAATGAAAACTTCCTACTTCATTTCTTATCTATCTCTCTAAATACAATACCTACTATATTATATCAGAATACTCGATACATGAACAGAGTTATTTGGCCAAGTATGAGCAGTAAATGAATACTAAATATATGAGTTCCAAGTAGCAAATGAGTACTCTACACATCTGTACTATACCTTTTTTTTACCTTCAACTAAATGGATTTTATATGAAAGACCACTTTCTAACAAAATATAACCTTAATTCTGCTGTTTTGTATGGTGAGCAGTGGCGAAGCCTCTATAGAAGCCCAGAAGCCCGGCTTGCCTTATCAAGCTGAATCAATCAATAATATCAAGTAATAAAATAACTCGTAAACTGTTTCAAACTATTTCAAATTTCCCGCGCGCTCTGTTCGACCTCGTAGCCTTAGGAATACTGCTGTCATACATATAAGGAGAGTTGAGTTGAGCGATTCGTTGTCTCCCTCGCACGCGTGGGCTTTTTACCGGGCTTTCGAGAAGACGATTGCTCCCTTTCTAACCTGTGACAAAATGTTCTCTAATGAAATATAACTAAGAAATGTTTATATAGCAATTAATATTGAGCCACAAGCCTGGCTTTACCCTGAAGTTGTTTAGGAGTGCGTTAGCGACTGGCGAATGGGGTGTGGGCCATTCGTATGCAAGTTCACTTCACATTTCAATGTTTATGTTTGTTTTTGTTGTGTTTGTTAAAAATTTATGCTTTTTCAAAGATTTTCAGTGAAAATGGGAGGATAATAGTGTTCAAGTGCTAATCGGCGAGGAAAAGGTAAAATCTTAAACATTTCTTCATACTTTAAATATAGGTACAGGACTCTTTAGTATTAAAGTTTAATTAAGTTAGGCGTATTTAAAGGTTTAAAACCTCTATATTTATATTATCATATGAATTAAAAATATCATTTTGAACGGCAGCATAAAATATGAGACACCTAGGTTTAATTTTATAGGAAATATGTGAAGCCCAAATTTTAATGTAATAAATCAAAAGAATACAGAAGAATGTATTGAGGTTTTTAAAGAATACTCCCCTTAATTATTTCCAGTTATTTTTAATGGCGCATCCTAATTCTATAGGTAAAGTCATTTTATCGAACGAAAATTGGTTGATTCTCACGATGGTACCTAAAGATTACGCTAGATTGTACAAATACGCTATCGGCTAATTAAATATTTATATTACCATATGAGTTTAAAAATATCATTTTGTACGGTTTATTGTACATTGAAAATTTATAATTATATAATAAATAGTCATTATTTTATGGTAAAAAATTAGCAAAGCTTTATCTTTTAATTATAACTATCTAATACAATAAACAGATTACGACAGGATTCTTTTATGCATATAACTTAAACAAAATAATTTCGAGGTTTCACATATGACAGGCGTCCCTTTTTTAACTTTGTACATAGTTTGTTTGTACTTTGTTCATGCTTTTCTTTTGTTCACGTATTGTATTGTTTGTAAATATCTCAAGCAAACCCAAACGGCTCTTTTCAAAACCACCGAAGGTGTGCAATTGCATATTATGTCATACAATCTATCTAGCGGTAGTATGCTTTCTGTGTGCTTTGTTAAACACGTCCTTGACAGCACTGAATATGAAACTAAAGAGTGGAGACAGCTCAACATTGGTGTATTTTTATTAAGCTGCTAAAAACAACAAAACCATATCTTGGGCTTGCCCTATTTTGGAGTCCTAGCTTCGCCACTGATGGTGAGTGTATAGAATCTGAGGCCCTTTTTATTGGTTACTAGGCACAGCCCTCAGGGGTGACAACACATCTGTGTTGATTCTTAATTTAGGATAGATGTAGATGTCTATGAGCCACAGCATCCACTTACTATCTGGTGGACCAATCAACCAATTTTTCACATCACACTATTTGATACGTTATACCATATAGTTAGTACCAATTAAAAACAAAATTATAAGGTATTATTTCAATGTGTTAGGCACTTCACGGTAGCCTTGCTTATTAAAACAATGAGTAATTGCGTAATAAGTGGTTAAATACTTACTTGTAAAATATAGTAGCACACATATTCAAATCCTGGACAATGCCCACCACAAGCCCCAACAATGGGCACTTCTGTGCTTACAGATATTACTGTTGGAACAGGTGAACGACTCACAACTTGAGTGTGAGGATCTGCATCACACATTGGAAGTGAAAATGATGAGGCACATGGGGGAAATGCATAAGTGTTTGTTGCCGTACAATGGACAGATACTTTCTCCCCTTTTCTATAGTTGCGCCATGTACCAGTACTAGTACCATAAGGCGTTTGGTAAATAGGAGATGGTGGACCATATTCTCTTAGACTTTCATTATAATAATGGGGTAGCTGCAAAAAGATTAGATAGGGTTAATATAGACCATATGATATTAATAAGTTTTAAAATTATTTAAAAATGTGTGTGTTAACTTTCACTATACTTAAAATATATATTTGATTGAATCATAAAGATTATAATTAGGGATGGGCCGACTATTCAGTTGAAAAAAGGCTGATTATTGCTTACAGCATAGTTCGGTTGGTATCGGCAATCACAGTGGCACTTCATTTTCAGCTGAGTTAAGTGTAACCGTAACTGTTCAAGATATCCCAAAATGCCACGTCTTGCTTAAGTGTACCCCTTTGTTCTCCAGCTCCCCTAGACTTTCCTTCGAAATTTGAAATATATACGCAATCAAAAGAAATAGATTACTGAAAAAGGGCAGTCTGTGGTATTTTTATTTTTCCCCAATTTTATATTTTTTTTATTTTAGTCAAATTGTGATGTAGGGATGGTTTGTTACTCTAGTGAAATTACTTTCATTTTTAATCTAATTGGCTAACCTTTGATTGCCATTATTACTAGGAATGGGCCGAATATGGATTTCACCGAATACGAATATTCGGCCGAATGTTCGGTAAAATTTTTACCGAACCGAATATTCGGCCGAACATTATTCGGCAGGATAACCTCGGGACTAGAGTTGGGACGGTTAGTCGCCGACTAATCGGTGAAGCCGATTAATCGGCCTATTGGTGGTTACCGATTAGTCGGCGATTAATCGGCTTTTTATTTTATTAGTTTCAGCAAAGGTTTTTCGTGATTTTCTGCGTGATAACTGCGGCTACATCGATATGAGTAAAGCTTTAAATTTAAGAAAAGTATACTTTCTCTCCCATGCGTAAACTCACGTCAGATTTATATGTAGGTAAATCAAATAAATAATAAAATAAGTAAGTTCATACTTAACTTTAATTGAAAAATCAGTCTCACATGTTTTATGTTAATTATTCTGGACATAGGAACTTTTGTAAAAAAAAGAATCTGAGGTAGCTATTTAAAACTAAACAAAAACCTAAATACTTACTATTTTAATTCTACTTATTACTTTTTCTAATCGTAATGCAGAGTAGTGACACAACAAAATAAAATATTAATAATATTATACTTAATAAACTTTTAAAAAAAATCAAATTAAGTCTCTCCCTTTGTATAACAAAAAAAGAAACTTAATTCTTGAATAAAGTTTGTTGAACTACATGCATATAGATTTTTAAAAGACAAATAGAACATACTTGTTTCTGTACTTAAAACTAAATTGTTATTATTTTTGTACTAAAAATTAAATCAAATTTTTATTTTTGTGTACTTAAAATTACAATAAATTGTTTTTTTCCTGTAATGTTATTAAATAAAGAATCTATAATCATCCAATAATTTGTAAAAAGAAATGCTCAATTTGAAAAAGTATTGAAGGCTTTTTAGAAAATATTTAATTTATTTGTTAATTTTTTAACCAGTGGCAAATTGTGATGCAAAAAGGCCAAAATCGCAGCCTTTTGTGGTTGAAGTCGATTTCTTTTTGTTTCGTAGATACTAGATATTCCCTGCCTCAGAAAAAAGTCTCACTATACACAGAGCTGACGGGGCAGCAAAGGAAAACTTTGGCTAAACGTGACATTTCTGAATATCTGGAAAAAATTTTGTTCCACCATTTGAATTTGTCATCGGATAGGGATCACCTGGGCCGATTAAACGGCTAATCGGCCAATCGGCCAAAGTACTAATCGGTCCAACCCTACTCGGGACCCAACAAATTTATGTCGAAACTTGTTACCGTAAAGCGCGCGGGATTAGCGCCGAACCCTGCCTCTCGCTCCCCGTCACACCTGACAGTTATTGCATCATCTACTACTGAGCAAATTGCCGGCATATGCTTGTTTTGACTATTCTTGTGATAAAAAAAGTATTTTGTTGTTTTATTCTTAGTGAAAATTGATAATTATATGATAAAAATGAGCAGCAGGAGATTTACTATTTGGACTTATTTTAGAGAAACTGACGACCAAAGTAAAGTGAAATGTACTAATGTAATGTAATGTTTCTTTGTTTGATTTCAAAAAACTTTTATCAAGTTTTTATTTGCCATAATCGGAAATAAAGCTACAGTTCCTCAAAAACATAAATGTATAGAGTTATGCATTTGAGGCACACTAGAGTAAGTGGATTTAACCTATAAATCTGGGGGCACGGCAGTGCCTCCGCCAAGTCGAGCAAAAAAGCGGCACGGCCGTACTATACTTTTCTCGAAGCAATTCAGGCGATTTTCGACCCCCTATAACTTTGTAGTGGATAAAACTATAATCCTGAATTTTCAGTAACCAAGTAGGCATTGCATAAACATGGTATATTTTAAATTTCATTAAATTTGAACCAGTAGTTTAAGAGTTATCACTAGTAAAAGTTTCTTAATTTTGTCATTAACTCTAGGCACTTCTAGAGAATAGAAGTGACTGACCGATCATCAAAACTCTAAGGCACTTCTAGCAGACATAGGAGCTTCAAATTTAGAATACAATTAGGGTTTAGTATATAAATCAAGGAAAAACTAAAATATTTTTTAATTTTGGTCCAGTTTTCTAGATACACCAATTGCATAAATAACTTTGTAATATCATATAAATGTATAGAATTACAAAGTTACATTTGCAGTGAATGAATCAGTGTACTTGTATATGTTTAATAGGTGTAGATAGACACGTTGTTGGTATTCAAGAAGTAGAAGGTACTAGAAAGGTAAAAAAGTAGGACTATCTTATCTACAAAAAGAAGTGAGATGCCATCAAAAACATAACTTGTGAAAAAAACCAAGTCTCGCAACTTAGTTCTTCTACCATAAAAAGTTTGTGAGATCCATGTAATACCAAGTCGGTTAATTTATTCAATCCCTACTTAAGGGTCCTTCTGTTTTAAGTTATTACGTAATTAGCTAACCTAACAATATTTTATAGTGCCCATATCAATGTTAAAAATCTTTTATTTTAAATATATAAATTGACTTGGCAATCGCACTAAGCGATCTAATTTAATATAATATGTATTACTTGTGAGATACATTGTGTTTTCATGCGATGGCCAAGTCAATCTATATATTTAAAACATAAAAGATTTTTAACATTGATATGGGCACTATAAAATATTGTTAGGTTAGCTAAAATCTGAGGATACTACCGCCGTCATAAGTACACTTATCGGCACCAAACTTCTAGTCCCAGGTTTCAGTAAAACCTCCATAAGCCGTTGTCAACATGCAATGTATGTATGCAACGGGTCAACTTCTGCTTCACCCGTTAATCCTATTGTGGTTGAGGCAAATAAGGCCCCTGAAGATAAGGGTGCACTAAGAGGGCTGGTAAAAAATGAACTTTTTCTTAAATAATTTTATTTTATATTTTATTAATTTTTGTAATTCTGTTATAACTTTTCTCTGGACTTCTTATTTTAGTTTTCTTTTTATCAATATATCTTCATTACTTTTCCTTGTTAATTGTAGATGTAATGTAAAATGTAATGATTAATAATCTCTCTTTGGAATTTTTATTATTTAGTGTTATAATTTTTCTTGTATGTTGGTAATTGTTATTGTAATCTTTCTTTGGAATGCTTAGTATTAGTGATAAAAGTATATTGTAAGGTAGATAATTGCTAATTAACGTACTGTAACTTTGACACTTTGACTCATCTGACATTAACACCTCTCACTTTTGTGTCTATGGTATTTTAACATTCGGTTTCTTCACTTATTGTTAAGTGAATTAAACATTCTTTCCATAATGCTGGCAGGTAGTTTACTGATGACTTATTTATTTTATAATTGTACATATACACACAATACATATTTACTTAGTTTAACATATATTTAGTAATCAGATATAATTTAATATGATTTCTTCAGATGATAGTGTTTGGAGTTCCAATTCCTTCGCCTTTGATTCTGCCTCTGATGGATTAAGCAGTATTGACAGCTTTGAAAGCATTGCACCCTTAAATATTATGTTAGATTCAATTTTTTCTGAATTTAGGAAGAACTTTAATGCTATTCACATAAATGCTCAAAGTATTCCTGCTCATTACCCCGACATGTTGTCAAGTTTTAATAGCAAAAACATACACGCTATCCTTGTTTCGGAGTCGTGGTTAAAACCATGTCTTCCATCAACATCCTACTCACTTCCAGGTTTTCATTTGATTCGTAACGACCGTACCAATCGGGGCAGTGGTGGTGTTGCTATTTATCTGCGCTCTCATATACCTTTTTCAGTAATTCAAGTTTCAAATGGTTCGCAGACTGGAAGCGAAGCTGAATTTCTCTTTATCGAAGTTCTTCTTGGTCATACAAAATTACTTCAAGGAGTCTAATACAGTCCCTCTCTCACTGTCGACTACTTCACCACGTTAGAAAATATTCTTGACAATCTTACACCTATCTATTGTCACAGTATTATTATGGGTGATTTTAATACTTGTCTTTTAAAAAACAACGCTAGATCAATAAAATTTAAATCTATTATTGAAGCAGCAAATTTAAAACTTCTTCCTACTTCTGCCACACACTTTTTCCCGAACTGTGCCCCTTCTCTTCTTGACATAATGTTTGTGTCTTTACCTGACCATGTTCTTAAATTTGGGCAACATGCTGCTGATACTTTTTCCTATCACGACCTTTTATACTTGTCATACAAAATTCGTCCCCCTAAAGCTAAGTCAAGGATACTACTTCAGCTTAACTTTAGTGACTTGGATTTGGAGCAGCTTTTAAATGACGCTGTAAAGATTGATTGGAGTGTAGTCGTCAATGCGTCTACTGTTGATGAACAGGTTGCTTTGTTCAACTCTCTGTTAATTCAGCTTTACGACGTTCATGCTCCTGTTCGTCCAGTGCGTGTAAAGCATCCTCCCTCTCCTTGGTTGACCGATGATATAACAAAAATCATCCACAGTAAAAATTGTGCTAAAGCTAAATAGAAGTCAGTTCCTAGCAATTTAAATAGAGAGAAGTATAGATTAGTACGGAATCGTTGCAACAATCTGTGTAGAAAAGCACAACGACGCCATATCCATGAATCAGTACAAGATCCTGACCCTGCTAGGGTCTTGAAATTTCTTAAGTCCTTAGGAGTTGGGAAATCACGACAAAATCTAACACACTATAACTTTGATCTCAATCAACTTAATTTGCATTTCTCATCTTCGTCTTGCATTAACGATAAAGCAAAACATAATACTTTGGATTCTCTTTCAAAAGCTCCTACTCCGGACACCTCTGCTTTTAATTTTAGCCAATTTAACAGTTGTGATGTTAAGAGAGCCATAATGTCCATCCATTCAAATTCGATTGGTAGTGACTGCATTAGTCAGAAAATGGTCATCCCTATCATTGATCTCCTTTTACCTATAATCACGTCTATCCTGAATAATTCACTGAATTCTGCTTTTTTCCCTTCAGCTTGGAAAGATGTATTTGTAGTTCCTCTTCCAAAAAAGTCAAATTCCTCTAGTTTTTCTGATTATAGACCTATCTCTATTTTGCCTTTTTTTTCCAAAGTTCTAGAATGTCTTGTGCACAATCAATTAAGCACCTATCTTTTCAAACACAATATTTTAAATCCCTTGCAATCCGGTTTCCGTCCTGGCCATAGTACGACTACTGCACTTTTACAAATCACTGATGATATTCGGTATGGTATGGAGAAACAAAAGCTTACCATTCTCACGTTGCTTGATTTTAGTAATGCATTTAATACTCTAGATTTTGATATCTTGTTAAGCATCCTATGGTCTCTCAACATATCTCCAACTGTAGTTGACTGGTTTCGAAGTTACTTGTTTGGTCGCCGACAGCGAATTCAGGTGCAAGAGGTTTTTTCCACCTGGACTACTACAGCTGCTGGTGTGCCACAAGGTGGCGTGTTGTCTCCTCTCCTTTTTGCAATTTTCATAACTCTATAAGTCATAATTTGTCCTCTTCCTACCACTTGTATGCTGATGATCTCCAAATCTATACTCAGTCCTCTCTTGAAGATCTATCTAAAGTAGTTGACACTATTAACGCTGATCTGACTTGTACTTCGAATTGGAGTAAATGTTATGGTTTAACGATTAATCCTAAGAAAACTCAGGTCATTGTCATCGGTAGTTCTAGATTAATTGGTAAAATTGACCGGTCTTCCCTACCCCCTATTATACTAGACTGCACTCTAATCCCTTACAGTAACAAGGTTAAAAACCTGGGGTTGTATCTTGACTCCTGTATGTCTTGGACCTCACAGGTTAATGAGGTCAGTAGAAAAATGTTTGCTGCGTTAAGCTCTTTACGTAGATTACGTAATTTTCTTCCCACAGCAACTAAAGTTACGCTCGCCCAGTCTCTACTTCTGCCTATCCTTGATTATGCTGATATTTGCTATCTGGACATTACCGAGGGGCAGCTTAATAAGCTTGAGCGCATTCAAAATTTATGCATTAGATTTATATTTGGACTAAATATGATCATCTCTCCGAATTTCGCAAACAGCTCAAATGGCTCCCGATCCGCCTTCGCAGGAATACTCACATTCTCTCCGCGTTGTATAGTGTGCTGTTTAATCCTTCCACTCCTCTTTATTTAAAAAACCGTTTCCAGTATCTTTCTCTTACCCATAATCAGTTCCTTCGATCCTCCGTCAATCTTTCTCTCTCTACACCTTTGCACTCTTCTTCCTTTTTCAAGAAATCCTTGTGTAAACTGTAACCGCTGTGCGATTGTGGAACTCCTTACCTCTCCATATTCCTCGTGCTAAATCTCTTCACTTTTTCAAAAGTCTTGTTAAATCGTATTATTTAGAACGCTATTAGATAAATTACTTTACCTTTCTCATACTCTTTTCATTTAATCCACTATATGATATTTTATATATAATTTTCACTTATCTTTATTTGATGTATTATTATATTTTTTATTATTATTTTGTATGCCCCCCTCTATTATAACTTTAGTTTGCATCATTCCTCTACGCAAAGGTTGTCTGGACGAAATCACTTTCAGAGTGATAAGACCGCCTATTGTACATACTTTAATTTACTTTTAACTGTACTTAATGTTTCTGTATTGTGGTGTACAAAAAAGATTAAATAAATAAATAAATAATACTCAATTAGTACATTTCAATACATTGGACAGTATGAAAACGAATATTCGGTGATTTAGCCGAATATGAATATTCGGTAAAGCTGCCAAATATGCCGAATACCGAATATAAAACGAATATTCGGCCCATCTCTAATGATTACCAGATAATACACAATATACAATTTAATTCTTAGTACACCTAGATTATTTTTATAATAATTATGATAATACTCAGATCCTTACTGTTTATTAAAAATTATTGACACTCGCATTTAGAATTGTCTTCTTTACATTTACAAGTAAATTAATTTTCTGTTAATTATAATTATGTCTTTTGGATTTAAGACCAATTATTAAAGGAAATGGCCCTAATATAAGATTATCTATAAAGGTTGTTACTCCTGTATTATGAACTGCAAGGCGTACATTACACCCTCATGCAAGTGTCAATCACTGCATTACACAGTAGGTTATTCGTCAATCACAGCCATGATTGTTGTAAAACTGACAGCCTGCATGAGTGTGTAATGTACGCCTATGATTGATTCTAAAGTAAAAATGATTAACAATGAAGGTTAAGAATTTATATCAATTATCCTAGGGATTATATAAATTATTTGAAATATTAATAAAATAATAGGCAGACTGACTAATCGGCGTTTTTTGCAGACTAGTCGTAGACTAAAAATTTTGCGTTTTCCGACTAGTTGTTACGTCTCTAATTATAATACAACATTGCTATTTAAACCTTGCAGATTCCTTATTGTAACCATGTTAAACTTATAATTTAAATGTACTTTTTGAATAAAAACTCAATACTAATGGTTTTTAAATAAATAATATGCACTTACATGATAAGCATTATCTGATGTTGAACTGTCGGTTCCAGGAACCTGATATACAGGTGTATTAATATCTTCTGCCCACGGGTATTTAACCCTTTGTTGCGATGCTGACGAAAATTGTTGCTCGCTTCTAGGTACTACCGTAGTTTGATAAGGGTGAATGCTCCTAGGTGACAATTGTTGTTTGAACATTTTGAAAACTGATATAACAACTATCTAACACCAGAATAACTATGTTATACAAAAACATGACAAGTTTAACATTATAACATTTGTACCCCAACCCCATGCGATATTCTATAGCCCATTTTGAGTTCATATAATTTAATAGCCATTTAAACTACTGTCGAGATAAAACTAATTGATTAAATTATTAGATAGTAAAGATGTAAAGTTGTTATAAACACAAATTAATATCATTATTCTTAAACAAACAAATCCCTTTCAGTAGGTAATCGTCAAAAGTCAAAACCATAGATAAATAAATATGTAGCAAGCAGCAAGCTAGTCAAAACGCCATGTTTTGTATCACAGATAATAAATATTATATAGGGGTGGGTAATATCACTTTTAGCCTATATCAAATCATACATAGGGTATTGGAAACGAATATCTAATATTGTATCTATATCTATATATTTGTTGATATTTTCGTTCTGAAAAGAAGTCAGTATTCAGTAGCACATGGTGATACGCGATTGATTTATGAATGCATTTTTATATATATATATATAAATATATATATATATATATATATATATATATATATATATATATATATATATATATATATACATATGTATATTGTATTATTCATGTAATCTAAGTATCCTTAAAATCTCATAATATAAGAAGTAACATGTAGGTATATATCAATAGGATTTAGCCTGCGAGAAAATGAAATGGAATATTAAATTAAATCATGTCGTGTTTATGCCATCTAGCGTATTTTGTTGAGAGTTAATCAATTTTTGTTAGACAAAATCATTTTACATACAAAATGAAGTATATGGCGCTAATACAAAGTATTATTTCACTCGTTTACTCCGAAGAATACACTACACAATGTCGAACACCCAACTTGAATTAATTTGTTTATAAAATGTACAGTATCTACCTAATATCTACGCACCTATATAATATTTTATGTTACATTACTTTTTATACGCTAAAACAATTCAAACTTAAAAAAACTGTCATAAAACGAAAAAATTATCGAATTAAAATTAAAATTTCGAAACTGAATTACAAACGAAAGCGAGCAGAGAAATTACATAAAATATGTCATCTGCATTCAAATTACGCGACTCAATTCACGATGCATGTGAATGAAACTGAAAATATAATTTAAAAATAGAAATTTTTTTTGTTGAAACCCAAAGCACAAGAGCAAATAGGTACTTCAATGTTTCAATGTCTGTTTTATCTTACATTTTAAGGTCGTGTTAAAAATATTTTAAATTATTCGGATCAAAAATAACATTCTATTAAATACAAAATAAGATCTAAAGTCGTTTATTTCGAAAACAGTACAACTCAACACAATATTAATAAAATACTACTAGTACTAGTGTTCTGTATTAAATCTTATGTTACTACTAATAAGGATTGATATTAATAATATTAGGCGTAAGCGTACACCTTTTAGTTGTGAAGTAGTCGTAATATCAGTTTAACCTATATATTCTATCGCGCTCACGGTTTGTACGGTATTCGAATCAATGTATATATTTAGATATTTTACGTTTTCGTTTCGAGTAGATATTAGATATTCTGTGATTCAGACACCGCTGGCTGTATTGCCGCGGCACCGATATCGTAATATCCATATATAGTTGGTTTGTCGTCCGATATATAGATATTGTACTGATATATAGATATTGTATCAATATACTATTTGTATCGCCCTACTCCTAATCTACAGGGTTATCAGATGCAATTTTATGGTTTCCCCCATACACATTTTTATTTTTCCCTAAAATAATACTTTTTTTTAACCAAAAAACCACCGGTTTTGTAAAAAACAAATATAAAATTAAAACAGACTGTTTTTATTTTATTTGTTGGAAGGAAAATAAGGAAGGTAGAATTTGATGAAGTACTTAGTTTTCGATTATTTTTAATAAAACTTCATTAAAAATACTTCATTCGCATTCTTTTCATCTCCTGTTTGATAGAAATTTTCAGACTAAAATAAAGTTAACATTGTAGTGCTTGGCTCATACTTTGTACAACTACCGCGGCTTTGTAAGGCACTTCTTACTCTCATGATATGGTCTGAGGTTTCCGTGAACATTCTGTTCCGTGAGCAGTCTGTCGCAATTTATTTTTGACGACATTCATCATCGAAAACGCTTATTCTACAGCAGCAAATGTCAAAATCAAAATAGTCGTGGCAAGTTTCGTTAAATAAAAAAAGCTGCGTCTCCATAAACATTTTAGTAGACAACACATCTCCCCAAAACTCTTCAGCTGTTTTGATTTTTTGCCGTAGCTGAAGAGGTAGAGTTCTCCACTCTTGCAGCGTCGCATCGACGTTTTCCACTCTTCGAATGACATCCTTGAAAGCAACAACCATACATGTACATATACATATAATCACGCCTCTTTCCCGTAGGGGTAGGCAGAGACCACTTCTTTCCACTTGCTACGATCCTTACATACTTGTTTCGCTTCGTCTACTTTCATTATTCCCTTCATACATGCTCTACGGTTTAGGGTACTCTTAACCTAGCCTTTTTTCAAGACGTCCCTAATTTGGTCTAGAAAAGTCCGCCTAGGTCTACCCAACTTTCACTTCCGTACATGAGTGTCGGAACCAACACCCCCCTCATGCACAGCCAAACGAGCCTTGTTAGACACTTTCCGACTGCTCATAAAGGAGTGCAAAGCTCCATTCACCATGTTTCCTGCATTCACTCTTCTTTCGATATCACTCTCACACTTTCCATCTCTTGTAAACTTTGACCCCAGATACACAAACTCTTTCACCTGTTCAATTTGTTCATCTTCAATCACGATATTGCAGTCTTTCACTGCCTCATCTTTTTCAAACACCATCACTTTCGTCTTCTTTACATTCATCTTCATTCCCTTTCTAACAAAAGCTCCACTCATAGCAGTTACCATCTCCTGCAACTCCTCGGCCGAAGACGCAAGTAATACTTGGTCATCAGCATAGAGAAAACATTTGACGAGTAACTCATTCATTCTCAACCCACTTTCATTCTCTTTTAAATCTGTCAAACAATTGTCCATGAACAGATTAAACAGCCACGGTGACGCTACACATCCCTATCTAACACCTTTTTCGATATTAAACCATTCAGTGTATGCCCCGTTTATCCTTACACAAGCACTAGAATCCCTATAAAGAGATTGCAATGCTCGTATGAGGACACTGCTCACACCGTTCACGGACAGTGCTGACCACAATTCATTCCTCACCACTCTATCATAGGCCTTTTCTAGATCTACGAAGGCGCAGTAGACTTTCTTGTTTTTAGCCAAACACTTTTCGGCTATGCACCGCAAGGAAAAGACCTGATCCGTACATCCCATTCCCTTTCTAAATCCCGCTTGTGCATCCCATATTTTCTCGTCTGTTTCATTCACAACCCTTTCAATCAACACTTTCGCATATAATTTACCGACGACGCTAAGAAGGCTTATACCACGGTAATTTATGCAGTCCTGCCGTGACCCTTTTCCCTTATACAATGGCACGATTACGGCTTTGCACCAGTCTCCCGGCACTTGTCCATTTCGCCAGCACAGATTGAAAAGGCGGTACAGCTGACTAGCCACCAGGCCCTGTCCAGCCCTCAGCATCTCGACGGTAATCCTGTCATACCCTGCAGCCTTACCTAATCTCATACTTTTCAACGCTTTCACTATTTCATCCATGCTTATCTCATTTTCATCAACATTTATATTCGTTTCCGTGGAAGGTGGCAGATGCTGTACCTGCACTTCCTCTCTTTCAAACAAACTTTCAAAATACTCTTTCCATCTCTTTAACACACATTCTTCTCCTTTTATAATGCTCCCATCTTGACTCCTGATTGTACTCAGCTCCGAGGTAAAAGTTTTTCCTCTGGCTGTTTTGATGGTTTTCCAGAAAAACTTAATGTTTGACTGGAAATCTTCAGTAAGTCTCCTATCGAAATCATTTTTTCGTTCTTCTTTCTTTCTAGACACAGTTTCTTTCGCTGCTTTTTTCAATCTTTTATACTTCGTTCTTGCTTCCTTTATCTCGTCATCCGTTGCCTTTTGAACTTTTTGGTTAGCTTTTGTTGCTAACCAATCCAACCACGCTTTCTTCTTTTCTTGCACAACCCTTTGTACATCTTTATCCATCCACACGTTATCATTCTTTCTCCCTTTCCTTCTTTTAGCTACCCCGCATACCTGAATCGCAACATTTACAACCCCTTTCTTAAATGTCTCCCACAAATCTTCAATTACTCCTATCTCTTCTATCCCTTTAAAACTTTCTTTCAGTTTCTCTACATACTCGTCTTTCTTTTCTTTTTCTTGTAGATTTTCCACTTTTACTCTGTCCAAAACACTCGTAGGCTCGGCCCCTCGGTGTCGCCACCGTTTAAAGAGGCCACGCATTCGGGCTATGACCAGGAAGTGGTCTGTGTCGAGGCCTACACCGCGGTATGCCCGAGTATCTAGCACTTTCTTCTTCAGTCTTTCCTCCACAATTACAAAATCAATCATACTTCTAGACTCACCCTCATCTCTTGTATACAGATGGATCTTTTTGTCGTCAAACATTGTGTTGGTCACGCACAGATTCCATTCCAAGCATACTTCAAGCAGGCTTCTCCCATTGTCATTCACTCTCTCGTCCCCAAAAATACCCAGAACTCCTTCATACCCATCACGCTTTACTCCAACCCATCCATTAAAGTCCCCTAACATCACGATCCGTTCATTCTCTCCGCATTTATTCAAGACCTCTCTCATGCTATCCCAAAATTCCTCTCTCTCTTGTTGTGATTTTAGTGACCCACCTCCACGCAGATCCGTCGGTGCATAGACCCCAAGGATAAACAAGCGGGTGAGTCCGACTTTTAACCTAATCCAGAGGAGTCTTGGGCTTACACATCATGTTCCATCACACATTCAACCATTCGAGATGAAAGAATCACTCCAACTCCCTGACAGCCTCGGCTGGTTTG